TTTAGACAACAACAAGAATAGACAACAATAATAGTAACAGTAGAAACAATGGCAGCAAAGGGAGCCCTCCAACAAAAAAAGGCTGGGCCCCCTTCACTCTTGATGTCAAGGTCTTCCCCTGCTGTTCATCATTCTCATCATGATTGGTTCAGTATTCCTAGCATCACGATGTTGAGTTCTGTCTCTTTGAAATCTGATTCGCCGAAGAGTGCTGGGCTTTAATTCGAAGTCGCAGGGGCTTATGGCTTTTTTTAGGACAAGGCTTCTGCCCCAGCACCAGGCACTAAACCCTAAAACCCAAACCCTACACCTTAAGCCCTAAAACCCAACCCCCAAACCTTAAACCCTAAAACCAAAAGCCAAAACGCTTCTGCACGGTAAGGTCCGTACTGAAACAGCCGGACTGAATCGGCCGCCTCTGCCAGCTGCCAATGGCCAAACACTGCCTCGCACAGGCGTCGGCTCTGGTTCGGGCTCTCTCAGGGTTCGGGCTCTCAGGGTTCAGGGCTTCAGGTTTAGGATTTGAGGATGTCTACGGTTTAGGGTTCAGGGTTTTGGGGTTCCAAAAAGCTCCCCAAGACTCCTGCAGAACATCCGCAGCCGAGGAAGTGCCACGCGATTCGGTGCGACCGTAAGGAGCGGGCCAGCAGTGGAGCGGTTCGGCGCCCTCCTGCTGCGAGCCCGGGAGGGCCTCGCAAAGGAGAGTTAAGTTGGGGTTTAGGGTTTAGGGTTTGAGGTTCCACCCCAAAACTACCCCATAGAGGCTTCAAGTTTAGGCTTGCTTTGGTGGGGGGACTGGGGGATCCCGCCTGTGATGTCTGCCGAAACCCTAGACACTAAACATCCCCAAGCCCCAGACCCTACACCAAAATCCTTGTTCAACCCCAAACTCCTAAACCCTAAACCCTAAACCCTAAACCCTAAACCCTAAACCCTATGGGGCAACTGAGCTTGCCACTTCCTCCACCGGAAGTCGGTCCCACAGCTTGTAGTTGCCATCCTGCGACCTCTGGAGAAGAGCCCTAAACCCTAAACCCTAAACCCTAAACCCCAAACCCTAAACCCTAAACCCCAAATAGCCTAAACCCTTAACCCTAACCCTCGGGTCTCCTCTTAAAGGCTTCAGGGGTTCAGTGGTGGTTGCAGGAGGGGTCCAGGGGTGTGATGCTACCGGAGATGGCGCTGCTGGGGGGCCCGGACGCGGTAGCAAACATGTACCGCTGATCCGGATTGGCGATGGCCACCGTAACCTTGGCGCCCAGAGGCCGTTTGGCCCTAAACCCTAAACCCTAAACCCTAAACCCCGAAACCCCTAAACCCCAATGTTAAAAACTCCTCAGGTTGGCAGTGGCACGCGACTATGCCTAGAAAGTACAGTGGCTTCATGTCGCAGCAGTGCTGGTGGCCTGGTAGCCTGCAAGAAACGTGTCAATGCCCGGGTTTGGGCTTCAGGTTCTCAGCCCTGAACCCTAAACCCTAAACCCTGAACCCTAAACCCTAAACCCTAAACCCTAAACCCCTAAACCCTAAACCCTAAACCCTAAACCCCTAAACCCAAGCACGTTGTGGCCCCGACTTCGGCAGCGTGGGGGTTGTTGGACACGCTGTCCAAGACGTACTGATCGGTATCCGTCCGTCGCCACCACTTGAGGATGCAGCTGAAGGCCTGTAGGGTATAGGGTTTAGGGTTTAGGGTTTAGGGGTTCAGGGTTTAGGGTTTCGGGGTGCAGGGTTTAGGATTTCGGGGTTTTGAATTTAGGATTTCGGAGTTTAGGATTGCAAGGGTTTAGGGTGTAGGGGTTTAGGGTTTAGGGTTTAGGGCTTAGGAGCTTCGGGTCTAGGAGCTTCGGGGTTTAGGATTTCGTGGTTCAGGATTTCGGGGTTCAGGATTCAGGGGTTAGGGGTCTAGGATTCAAGGGTTTAGGATTTCGGGTTTCGGGGTTTAGGATGTCGGGGTTTGGGGGGAGGGAAGGGGGGTGGTGGTGGGGTGGTGCTCACGGCAAGAAAGACATGTAGCTGGAGAGCGAAGGATCTACTGACCCACTTTGAGGGAGGCCTCTGTCGTTTAGATGGTCATTTTCCCTTCTGGCCCCTTTGAGGTACCTACTTAAAGTACGGGGCCGAATATCCTTCTGTCATAGGGCGCATCTGGGACTGCGGCTGAGTAGGGGTCAAAGTTCTCAAGAGCCGGCGACAGTCGCGTCTCGCAGGTCCTGACGTTTCTGGGGGCAAAAGCAGGGCGCTAAGAGTTTCTGACATCCTGCTTCTGTTGCAAACCCAATCCACGACAGACTGCACTTCAACCGGAAGGGTGTTGGGGTTTCAGCGGGCCCTAAACCCCAAACCCTAACAATCCCAGAAGCCCTACTACACATGCAGAGCAGGGTCATAATGCAGGACGCGTCGGCGCTGAAGACGAGTTGTTGCAAAGCCTGGTGTGCCATGAATCAGGGGGATTTGGAACCCTAAACCCGAAGCCTTTCGCGTATTTGAGGTGGACAGCGTGACAAGCGGTTTGGGCCGTGGGAGATCACGGGTTACACATATGTAGGACCGGAAATGCGGGCCTGCACGCTCCTGCTCTAAGAATGTCTGGCTCTGGCCAGCTACCGAGAATGTGTGCCAGTGAAGTGGGCACGCGTACGGAGCTGCGGAGCAGGAACAGCCCCCTGAAAATCCCGCAGCGGCTTCAAGGTTGAGGGGACTCCCCTTCCAGGGAATGATGTGGGTACCTCCCACACAGGATCCCTCCGATCCTGAAAATCCCATGCCCTGAGGATTGCGGTTGGGCCCTAAGTCCCCCCGTGGGGGACCTGAACCTCAGCAAATCGGCCCTTATATAGAGTGTCATTGAACCATGAGACCCACGACACCCTAAACCCGAAAGACACTAAACCCGAAAGCCTGAGCCCTAACGATGCCTAAGCCCCATAGACCCTATAAACACTGAACCCTAACCCTGCTTAAACCATACAAACAGACCCTAGGCACTGAAGCCTCTAGACCCCAAAGACCCTGAACCCTAAACCCTAAACCCTAAACACTAAACCCTAAACCCTAAACCCCTCTCTGGGCCGCCCGCCCACCGCTGCTTGGGGTCGCTATTGGCCGAGCCGCCGCGGGAGAGCTTCGTGGCCTTGCTGGGCCTCAGCCAAAAAGGGGGAAGGGCCCTGTGACTTTTTGCAATAATAATAATAACAATTATTCTTACCCTTCTTATCATTATTATCAGTATTATTATTGTCTTATTATTTTAACATTGTTTTTTTTTTTGGGGGGGGGGGGAGGGCTTGGAGCTTAGGGTTAAGCGTTGCGTGCCCCCGAAAAATCACTTAAAAAAGCGCGTTACGAGGCTTTGGGCAGTCTGCAGTGGATTTGGGCGGGGGAGGGTGGGGGGAGGGGGCTGTAGAGGGCCCAGGAGTCGAGATGGGGTTGGAGAGTTGGTTCTGGGCTTTGGCGTTCGTAACGTGGGCTCTGCAGCAAGAACAGGCTTCTAGTCGGGCTTGTATTGTAGGACTTAGGAAATAGGGGGGGGGGGGGGGCCTATATGCCTGCTGAGGATGAAACCCTAAACCCTAAACCCTAAACCCTAGGTATGGTCAGCTACGTACTTGAACGAGTAGATCATGTTGTGAGCTGGAGCTAAGTGCAAAGATATGCAAAGGCCAGGCAGAGGGCCCAGCGGGCACGAGATCCCTCCATGAAGGGTTAGGGTTTAGGGTTTAGGGTTGAGGGTTGAGGGTTGTGGGGACTCTCAAAATGCCCGTAAGGGGCAGGCTGAGTCTCGCCCGGCAAGAGAAACTGCGCACGACGGCCAGACGAGATGGCGATTCGACAGCCTTCCAGGCACAGCGGTTGCGAGGTTCGTTAATCTTCTGGTGTCATGTCTTTCAATCGTATTTTTCAATCTATAACGCCATTATGTCATATATTATGTCGTCATATTTTTTCGAACTTACTTTCAGATTAGGAAATCATTATGTCATCATGATATTCTCCAACCTTTCATGTTTTTCGGCGGGCGGGTGGGGGGGAGTGGGGGTGCTAAGGAAAGGGCTGGACTGCAGAAACTTTCGTGGCTTATGAACCACAGCATAATAAAGGGGGCTGAATAATTATATAGAACAGGGTCTTCCGGGGGGGGGGGGGGGGGGTTATCATAGTATAGCTATATAGGGATCATGAGGGAAGACTCTTTGTAATTCCGACCCCTCTATTACCGGGCCTGCAAGATTGTGCAAGATCCTCGATCTGGCAGCGGGCACGTTTGCCAGCGCGGCTTCCTGGCCCTGGTCGACGCGCTTCCGCTTCTTCGGCCGACCTGAAATGCGGGAAAACTCCGAGGCCCCCAAGCCCAGAACCGTTCTGCCTCATCCCGAAACCCTACACCTGCACCCTAAACCCTAAACCCTAAACCCGAACCCTAAACCCTAAACCCTAAGCCCTAAACCCTAACCCTACTTCAACCCTAAACCCTAAACCCTAAACCCTGAACCCTGAAGCCTGAAGCCTGAACCCTAGAAGAACTCATACAAGCCTGTGGGCGGGTTTCTGCTCTGAGCACCATGCGGCTCGCAAAAGCATGGTCTGGCAGATCAACGGAGTAGATGTACTGCGGCCTGCAATGCTGGCCCGTGGGCTTCAGGTTTAAGACTTGTAGGGTCTCGTGGAATTTTGGGTTTAGGGTTTAGGGCGAAGGTGCTTAGCTGCGCAGTTTGAATGGGATTCGAGTTCCAGGGCTTGTCTGCTGTGGGACTGGAAAGGATGCTGCGCAAGAACAAGAGCTGCGACTTACGATGGAACTTCAGGAGCAACGTCCACGTAGGATCCTCTTGCAGTTGCCTGTGTGTTGCTCACAGCAGTATCGAACTAGGCTCCAGTGTTGAACCTTCTGTCCTCTCTGAACAACGCGAAGGCCCCTGAGCTCCCTCTTACCCCCTTTTGACTTCGCAAGCTTCGGACGCTGTCAAGAAGGCCCCAGGTACCGGATCCTGGGAGCCTCACGCGTGAAACATGGGTGGCCACAGGATGCCATCTAGCACGGCGCAGTGAAAGGCGAAGTAGGACGTGCCGGCGAAGGCTGCAAGTTGCAAAGGTCGTCCTGAGACCTCCACGGAACTACTTGGAATGGTCAGCACGGAGTAGGCCCACGCTATGGCCGAGAGTCCCGAGCATGCGAGTTGCAGCCGGATGAACAGGAAGAGTGTGGCGTTCGGCTTGTCCAGGTAGGCGACGCACATGGGGAGCCAGAAGAGCTCCGTGAAGAAGAAGATGGCAAAGAAGCCGCAAATCCGATCCACCACATGTTTGGGCAGGGTGCCTGCGACCACAAGCATATGGGCCAGTGCGGGGAAATAGCCCACCGCAGCCAAGCCCATGCTTGCGTAGTAGGTGTATCGCAGCCAGTTGAGACTCGGCTGCGCCATGCGGCCCCAGAGGCCCATGGCAGTGTGGTATCTATGCACCTCGGCTGGGTCAAACCACACTTCGACATGCTTCTCTTACTGGGCTCCAAGATACATATATCTATGTATGTATACTAGGTATGTATCATACTTATATTTCTACTTATAAAACATTTTTGTGTATATATATATATACACACACTATGTTCATCCCGTGTCATGTACATGTACCAACTTCCAGCTTCACGGGGGAGCCTGAGGTGCCAGCCAGTGTGGCAAACCCCCAGACATAGTCGGCCATCAGGAGCGCCCCGAGGCCGCAGTAGACCAAAAGGACCAGGACCTAGGTTGCCCCAGCAACCTATAGGATTCATAAAAAAAAGAGTGCCCCTTTTCTGCTTATAAAGAGCTGCATCAGGGAACCTAAGCCCGCCCAAAACTACTGGGCATCCCAGGGACGGTGCCCCGCCGCCCGGACGACTCTCCCAGGAGAGGTTGGCACACGCCCTCCTGCGCCCCCTCCGCCATGGCTGGGGATGCTGGGTTTGGGGCTGCTACGAAGGGCTCATGATCACATGGTGGCCAAAATGGCACCCCTTGAGCCCGGTTCAAGTGGGCGCACCTTCCTGGCGCAGAATGGCGGTTTAGGGTTTAGGGTTTAGGGTTTAGGGTTTAGGGTTCCGGGCCCGGGGCTGGAATGGAAACAGGAGGTAAGGGGCCTTAAAGGATCTTGGTAGCCACGTCGGCTCCGGCAGTACTCCCTCAATACCCCAGCCCAAGCCCCTAAACCCGATAAAGCCCAAACCCCTATACTCAAATACTCAAATACCCTAGCCAAGCCCCTAAACCCGATAAAGCCTAAACCCTGAAACTATCCTTATACAGGCAGCTCAGCAGTCTTCCTTCATACATCGGAGTCGCGCCTCACCCACCCGTGAATGCTAGGCATGACTGCGAGGGAGTTGTCCTGAGGTAAGCTCAAGCCGGTTCAGGCAAATTTCCGGAAATTCACGGTTTGTGGAAACCGTCTTTGTGTTAACGCCTGTTTCCTAAACGGTGGTTGGACATTTTGGGTTCCACCATGGAAAAAGACAGCGTCGGGTGTAGGGTACCGTCGAAGGCATGGATGCGAACCGCAAGGTTACATACTCGCAGTCAAGGAAAAAGGCAGCTGCGCGCGAAAAAAACAAGAAAGAGGCTTTCCAGGACAGCATTCTGTCCACATGGGATAAACCGCCACTTTTATTTACTGAAGAGAGGAGTGCGCTAGTTTGGTTTTGAAAGTTTTTGCTTTCTTCCCGCTCTCTCTCTCTCTCTCTCTCTCTGTAGCGGTAACTAGATCGGGGTCATATGTTATGTGCAGCAGCAGAGACGGGTGGCCCAGTTCCCAGCCTTGTTGAGGGGATGTAGTCTTGGGCTTGGCAGGTTCGGAGAGTCCGAAACGAGATACGTGATCAAACAAGTGCATGAAAGCACGTAGGGAAGACATGGGCCCATAGGAGCCATATGGTCACGCAGGTTTTGGGTTGTCACGCTTAGGGGGTTTGGGCTTGGTGGTTGAGGGCTTAGAGGTCTTGGATGTAGCGCCATCACATGATTCATAAAAACCGACGCTCACGACATGTTCTCGTTGCGCTTGCTTGCGCATCTTGCTGTTTTATACGAGGGTTTGGTAAAGTAGATGCCTGAAATTGTGCCTCATTCTATGACCCTTTTGGGGATATTATGTGCTGACCCCAACTCCGCAAGCTTAAACAACTTACTGTTGGTTAGTAGAGAATGGGGGAATGAGGTAGCCTACATGATCGGGTATATATACATATATATAATTATATATATATATATATGTATATGATGTAGGGCCCTAATTCCCGCATTGCCTACTAAGAACCCTATACCCTACACCCTACACCCCAAACCCTAGTACCCTAAACCCTAAACCCTAGTACGACAATCGTGAAGGCATCATCGGCTTTCGTCCTCCAAGCTGCAGATGACCTGGCCATCCTCGCTGGCCTTGGCCACACGAAAGAGATCGAGACGAAACAAGGTTTAGGGTTTAGGGTTTCGGGTTTAGGACTTATAGGGCTTAGGGGAAGCTCACAGTACCAAGGGTCTGAGGCTTCCGGGGCTGAACTTATCACCCCAAACAGGAAAGAAGGGGCCCCCGCTGCCCCCTCCGCCCTCACCTCCCCCCGCCCCACCCCCCCAAAAAAGAACGGAGTTGTTGCAAGATGATGGGCCGTTTGTGGTCCTACACTAAAGGGAACATACTAAACAACCGCCCTGGGAACCCTAAATCCTAAACTAGAATCTTAAGTGGCTGGCGGTCATGTGCCGCAAGGCTGTGGGGAACCGCGGGATGAAGTGCACGGTCTCATCCTGCTAGATGCTCAGGGAACGCAAGTCAAATGAAACCATCCTGAATCCTGGGGGTTTAGGGTTTAGGGTTTAGGGTTCACTCCCCTACACCCTGAAGACTCGGGAATGGTTTGAAGGTTCGGGAGATGAAAAGTTTCCAATGAAGGGTTTGGTTTAGGGTTTTGGGTTTTGCGTTCAGGGGGGTTCCTATAAGAGTTATGGCTTACAGCATGTTACGGGTATGGTAGGGGCATCCCTATTGTCACAATGTTTGAGCGCTTTTGGATTTACGATTTGGGGATCATACAGGCTTTGGGTTTTGGACGTCTTGGGCGTTTAGCGGTTTTGGGGCCTTTAGGATGTGAGGAGTGGGGCTTTGGGGCTTTGAGGGTTTTAGGGCTTTGGGTCAGGGTTTGGTAAGTAGGGCTCTATGCAGGCCAGGATTGAATAATGTAGGAGCCTTCATATTTAGAATATGTTATTGTTATTTATTATTTATTTATTTATTTTTTTTTTTTTTTGGGGGGGGGGGGGGGGGTTGTTATAGTATACTTTTAAGCTTTTAAGGGGACCATCAGGGAATACCATTAGTAATTATTCCGACCCCTATATTATGCTAGGGCAGAGAAGGTAGAAATCGGAGAGCCGCGCCTCGATTGCACTCAAGTCTGTTGGTTTAGGGCTTGAAGGATCGTACTTTGCACTCGACTTGACAAGCCCCAGACCATCCTAAACCCTAAACCCTAAACCCCCCCCCCCCCCCCCCCCCCCCCCCAAAAAAAAAAAAGAAGAAAACAACCTAAACTCTCTAAACCCTCAATCTCTGAAGGCTTGGGGTTATGATACAGGGTGAGAGAAGCCTTGATCCTCCATCCATGAGCCTGTGCTCCGAACATCTCGAAGGCCGCAACCCGAAAGGACAAAGCCCTAGGCCTTGAAATTTGCCTGGGGGCTCGGAGCCCCGCCTAAGCCCTAAACCCTAAACCCTAAGCCCTGCCTGACCTAAAAACCCTAAACCCTAAACCCCAAATCCCAAATCCCAAACCCTCCTCCATGTTGCGGATGCAGACGACGCCCTCGCGGCCCGCGCTTAAAAGCGCGGGGCCGCAGTGCTCCAGGGCGAGGAGGCTGTCGTTTGCCTCAGCGGGCTTAGGTGTATTTAGGGCTTAGGGCTAAGGGCTTAGGGTTTAGGGTTTAGGACTTGGGGTTTAGGGATTTGGGGTTGAGGGTGTGGGGTTGAGGGATTTTAGGGCCTACAGCGTCTAGGGAGTAGGGGTTGAGGTTTTGGGGGTTTGGGGTTGGGGCTTGAGGGTGTAGGGTTGAGGGTTCAGGATTTCGTGGAGGGTCGGTACCTCACCTGTAGATAGCCCTCAGTACCTGCACCTCACTTGCACATGCACTCGGAGCTGTGGTACGAACGTGCCAGTGCCATCGAGCTGGAACCTCACCAACTTCGGCGAACCGCGGGAAGGAGGAAGAAACGGCAAGTAAGCATCTGGATTGATGCAAAGAGTCACTGCTACAGCATAAACTTTGGCATAAACGATGCAAAGCGACTAACCTCAGCCAGACGCACTTCTGCGGCTAACTGTGCTGCGTGTCACCCCCTCATGCAGCCAGAACCATGGGCTGCGAGTACGAGGCTCCCACCGCCACTGTTGCATCGATGCCTTCCTTGTCCAATATGCCCCACCTTGAAGCACTTGAGTCTGAACTAAGCTGGCAATGCCAACACTATATAACACGCAACTTGCTCCAGTAAAGCTGATGAAGAGTCAGAGAAGTCAAAACCCTCAACCCTATGCTAAACCCTAAACCCTAAACCCTAAACCCGTTAGGGAGTCGAAGAGATCAAAAAAACAAGGCGCTGAGACGACCGAAGGGTCATGCTGAGTGCCCTGGCCAGGTCCACAGCACACCCTTGCAGTCTCCGACGCAAACGTATCTCCTGGCGGTGGATGGGGGTTAGGGTTAAGGGTTTAGGGATTTCGGGTTTAGGGTTTACAGTAGGGTTTAGGATTTAGGGAGACGGGCTTAGGGTTCCCAGTTGGCGAACACCAGCCTTCGAAAGCCTGAGCACTTCTGAAGAGATCAGAACGCTACTCTGAGGTAGCCAGAGGGCCCAATACCCTTTTTCTAGGGAGTCGTGTAAATAAATATATATACATATATATATATGTATATATATATGTGTATATATATATGTATATATATATATATATATGTATATGCGCCTTCTTAATTCAGAATGAGGATTCCTAATCAAGTGGTATTGGGCTCTGCTTATCTACACCAAGCGCGGTCCTGGCCGGGTCGATGGCAACCGATGTAAGCGCGTGGCTGTGGGTGTACCTGGCAGCGGAGGTGTATGGCTTAGTAAGGGTTTACGGTGACCGACATTCAGCTTTTCGGGGAGTTCTAGTTTAGTTGAGAAACGGCATCTTGGTAGCTGGCTTTACAACTTCCTGATGGCAGGGGTTTTCTGCAAATTTGGGGGGGTCTCCGAAAATGGGGGGTATCTTTTGGGGTCCCTTGAAGGGGACTCTACTCTATTTGGGGTACAGAAGGAGTACCCCTTTTCTTGGAAATGCCCTAAAACGAAATGAGCCTGGGATGTCACACATGGGTCGACACTGCAAGCCCTTGACCATCGTGCAACGGGCGCGGCCTCTGACTGTCAGACCAGCCGTCTGACCAAACAACGAGGTCCTTCGCGTGTCCATTTGGGGGTTTCCGAAATTAGGAGTATCCGGGTCCTGAAAAAGGGAATCCTACTATTTTTCGGTTTTTTTTTCAGGGTCCCGTGTACTTTCGTAAACTCCCATTTAGGGCACATGAAAGCACGGCTATTGCTACTCCAGTGCCACTCTTCTTGTAATCCAGGCAGCTGAAAGCCTTTAGAGTTTAGCGGCCAGCCACGAGCCCTAAGAATCCGGGCGTGGGCGCTTGCATCCGAAAACTGCAACCCTACTATTTGCTCAAGAACCTCCCTCAAAAACACAAGAGAATAATCCCCACACTACCCCTGTAATCAAGAATTGTTTTTGCTTTCTTGTTCGGGTGGTTCTTCAGCAAAGAGTAGAACATGTCCGGTCCTTGCCATCCACCAGAGCCATGCTATCTTCGGTAGCCGCTGCCGGGCCTGCGTTCGTCACACCTCGGAGAGGAGGAGAGGGCATCCGGGTTTTTGGGGGCGGGTGTTTTTGAGGCTTTCTGTTCAGGGGCGCTCCGAAGAGCGCAAGCAGTTCGTTTAAACCCTAAACCCTAAACCCTAAACCCTGCTTCTAAACTGCCAAGGAGGACGGAAGGCGCCGTGGGCAGGTGAGCTGTAGGCATGACCCGCACGTACTGAGGCGTCTCACGGAGCGGCGTCTCTCGCAGCTTCCTGCATGTCCGGGGCTTACATAATTAGGGGTACGTTTAGGGTTTAGGGTTTAGGGTTTAGGGTTTAGGGTTACTAGAAGGAAATCCTACTATGTGGAGATCTATGTTTGGGGGTCCCCCTAAATTCGCTAACCCCTATTGATGGTCCCCGATAAAATGGGTACCCCTAGCAGGGATCCGAAAAGAGGGAATTGACCGTATTGGGTTGCATAGGGCGTAGAATGAATAAGGGGCTCCCCAGCACCTGGCCTCTTTCTCATTCGGAGGGTATGGGATGTAGAAGGACGATACCCCCCCCCCACCCCGGGCCCCTAAACCCTAAACCCCAAACCCCAAACCCTAAACCCTAAACCTCCACCATGTGCCGTTGCCTCATGGACTCCAGGGAATCCACGTGGATCACTTCGGCCGAGGCAGCCTCGCCCCGTTGGCCTCGCGACAGTCTTGGGTGCCCCTACTACCCCCCTTCTCTATACTACTTAGAGAATCAACCCTAATTAAGGTTTTTTGGGTGGGAACTCGAACCTGGGGGGGGGAGGGGGGGTAGCCCTAAACCCTAAACCTCGGGGGGGGGGGGGGGGCGGATATAGAGGGGTAGTAGGGGAACCCATGACCACCCCAAACTCTGCAGAAGGGCGATCCCCGGCTCAGGGCTCAAAAGGGGTGTTTAGGGTTTAGGGTTTAGGGTTTAGGGTTTAGGAATACAAGGCTCTGGCCCAAGAAGACCACCATGGTGTGCTTGCTTGGCCAGGTGATGTGTAGTACCTGTTGGGAGCATGGCGGAAGGCCATCGTGCTTTTTGGTGCGGAGCGCAAACCTTTTTTGTTGTTGCTGGAGAGAGAGGGAGGGAGGGAGGGAGGGAGAGAGAGAGAGAGAGCGATGATATACAAGACTCGTCCCATGAATTCTCAGAGTCGATGACCAAGCGCTGCTTTCCCTAAGGAAGCCCTCGGTCACCCTAAGTCTTTGACCCTGAACCTCGGAGGCAACTCAACGCGACCACAACCGAGCCAGCGACCGGTTGAGCAAACTGCAGGGAGGAGAGCCGTTGCAGACCTCACACGCTGAGGAGTTCGTAAACGTAAGTCACTACTCAAAAACCTGAACTTCTGGGGTTAGCACGCACAAGAGGATGCGAACATAAGCTGAATCTAAATCACATTGGCTGCATCACACATGTTCTCCGCGTTGGGGGTTAGGCTGCTATAAGGAAGCTAGGTAGCAGTACCCGAAGAAAGAGGGGTAGGGGGTCTGAGCCTCTAGTAGATCTGCAGACCCGCACGGCTTGCGGGATGCCCTGGAGCTACGGGGCCCGGGCTTTTGGCATCCCAGATGATGAGCTCCCCATACCTGAGATGGCAGTTTTCCACAATAACAGTAGGGAATCCCCCCCTGAGAACCCCCGCAACGGCAACATATTCCACCTATAAGGTCACAAAACCAGGCCCTTCAGTGCCCTCCAACTTGCAAGCCGATCCCGGAGCTTCATCTTCGTTGCTGAGTTCATAAGCCCCCCCAAAAGGTGTACACCTTCAGTCCTTCAGTTCTATAGGGCCTTATCGTATCCCTAAACCCGAAACCCTAAACCCCTAAACCGCAAAGTGTACTCATTCAGCTACTAAGTCATCAACGCCTTCACAGCTGAGATCCCTGCGAGGACCCCGTCGCGATGGCCTGGGAGCTGTCTGCACCCGTGTTGCCTGGCAGGCCTGCGCTTGTGGCATCGACGGCTTCTGCTGGAGCCCTAGGCTTCTGCTCCCTAAACCCTAAACCCTCAACCCTAAACCCTAAACCTTAAACCCTAAACCCCAAACCCCAAACCCTAAACCCTAAACCCTAAACCGGAATCGGCCGCAACTTCAGGTCCAGCGAGGCCAGCTGTGGTTTAAGGGGGAGGCGCGGTTCGGAGTGCTGTGCCGCCTGCAATGACTCCTGCCGTTTGCTCTCCCTAATGCCCGAAACCCGAAACCTGAAACCCGACACCCTAAGCCCTAAACTAAACCCCAAACCCCAAACCCCAAACCCCAAACCCTAAACCCTCAACCCTAAACCCTGAACCCTGAACCCTGGACCCTGAACCCTAAACTAAACCCTAAACACTAAACCCTAAACCCTGAGAGCTGGGTGGCAAGGCTGTTGTCTTATAAGAGTTTGAACCTTGCAGCACCCAAATACTCACACAAACTCACAAACCGTCGATCAAAGAAACCCAAAACAAGCCTGAAATCCAAAACTCAGAGCAAAAGCTGTGAAGACCTATAATCCGAAAACCGCGACCTCCAAGTCACCCGCAAAAACATTGCGCAAGATTATTTGGGGTTGTGCGCAACCTGTTTTTGTGCATACTTAGGGTTGGGGAACCCATGCCCGCAAATTGGAAGATGCTCTACACAACCCCAAAAAGCCTAACCCTATACAGGGCCATTCTTCAGGGACCCTAGCTTCAGGGGCCCTAAACCCTAAACCCTAAACCCTAAACCCTAAACTCTAAACCCTAAACCCTAAACCCTAAACTACCCTAAACCCTAAACTACCCCAAACCCTAAACCCTAAACCCCAACGCCCTGAACCCCAGCACGCTGAGGAGATCCCGGCTGACCTCCGGCCGTTGCCGTTACCGAGCCGCGAAGGGGGCCAAGTGCACCCAGACGCCGGCAGGTCCGCGTCTGGAGTTCCGAGATTTCGGGGGGATAGGGTTTAGGGTTTAGGGTTAGGGTTTAGGGTTTAGGGTTTAAGGTTTAGGGTTTAGGGTTTAGGGTGTAGGGTTTAAGTGTGAGAGAGTGTGGGAGAGCAAGGCTGAAGAGGCAAGTGAGGAAAAAGATTGAAGAGCCCAGCATATAGCAGCTTCGCGCGGTGCTCTGAGCTCACAACCCTCACCCCCTCCAAGCCCGAAACCCATGGTACCCTAAACCCTAAACCCTAAACCCTAAAACCCTGAACCCTAAAACCTTCACCCTACTCCCTAAAACCCACAACCCTAAACCCTAAACCCTGGTACCCGAAGCCCACCCAAACACTGTAGCACCCAGAGCCCTAAACCCTAAACCCTGGCACCCTAATCGTAACCCTATAACCTCCTGAGGCCGCCAACACTGTAGCCCATAACCTCCTGCGGCCCAGAAAACACTGTAGCCATAACCCCTTAACCCTGCTCCCTAACAGGCCCTAACACCCTAAACAGGCCCTAAACCCTGGTACCCTAACCCTAAAAAACCACCTCCTGAGGCCCCCAACGCTGTAGCGCCCAGAGCCCTAAACCCCTGGTACCCTAAACCCTAAACCCTAAACCCTAAACCCTAAACCCTATACCCTAATACCCTAACCCTGTAACCTCCTGAGGCCCCCGACGCTGTAGCCCACAGCCAGGTTCCCGCAGGCCACGAAGACTCGCGAGCCATCCGGCGTGACTGCGGGCTTCTGGCCCGAGATCACCCCGCCCAGAACCGGGGGCCGCAGCGACTGCCTGAATTCGGGTTTAGGGTTTAGGGTTTCGGGTTTCGGGTTTCGGGTTTAGGGTTTAGGGTTTAGGGCACAGTCCTCCCAAGGACCCTGCGAATCTTTATATACTTAGGCTTTAGAACTTAGAGTACAGGGGTCATGGCCCGGCTGTCGGTTGCAGGACAGGGGTCCCAAAGCTTTCGGTGAACTCAGCACCCGGCCCCGAACCGAGGCGAACCGTGTTGCTCGTCTGCTTAGAGGGCTCCATGCTCGCTGCGCGAGTCGGGCGCAGGACACATGTGTTAAGTGGGGTTCGGGGGACGGATGTAGTTTGGCTGACTCGGACATTGCAGGAAGAACTTGGTGAGTGAGTCTGGGTAAGTCGGGGGGGGGGGGTTCTATTGAATTTTGCGGAGTATTTGTATAGAGAGTTGTTGGCTAAACGTGGCAGAGCGGACTTGCATTTGCCTGCCGAGCCGTGGCGCTCACACCTGGTTCTTCGTTCGGCTTGGGCCAGCGCAGGGCAAAGATGGGCGAAGGATGCGCAGGCAGCAGGAACACAAGTCAAGCATCTACGGCTCTGCAAAGAGGAAGTCTTGCCTCGAGTCTTGTGTACTATTACCCGTCCAAGAGGCTAGTGCAAGAAGTTCTTCCTCGAAACGAGATTCGCGGCAACGGATTCGGAATCGGAATAGATGTTGCAGCGGAGGCTACGCGGCCACCTTTCAGCTGCTGTCAATGGCCTTCTGAGGTACGTTGCAAGATCTTATGCTCACAGCCGGGCTACAGCTCTTGGCTGTACGCGGGACGTGCAGGCATGCAGGATCAGTCGCAGTCTGCGAATGATCCGAAAACACATGAAGCGAATCCAAGCTTGCAGAGCTGTGCTTGCGGAGGCTCTCAGTAGAGGTGCAGCCTGCTGTCGGCTGAAGGGTTCGGGTGTTCGCGGGGCGGAGACAACTCATTCTGTCCCATGGATTACGGCTATAGACTATAGACAGTACAGCTGGACTGGCACTTAGGATCGATAACAGGCAATGCATATGCCAAGCCCCACTGCGGCTTCGGTGAGGCATTCAAACAAACTCTCATAGATCTTGCTGGCAGCATCCGCATACTTAGGCCGAAGCTTCGTACAGATGGCCACGCGGCAGGTCCTGACCAGCGCATAGACTTCGGGGGGAATGCTCGCGATGTTTTAAACCCTACACCCTAAACCCTAAACCCTAAGCCAGTAACTACCCTAGCCCTGACTGAGCCGCCCGGCTGATCCAGGCACGCAAAGACACAGAGGCCGGTCTTGTTCATGTGCCAGTCCTGAGATGGTCGGGAGCTGGGGAAGAATCGCACTCGCAAGAGGTGCCGCGTTGCGCCGTACATTATAAGGTGGTTGTAGTTTAAACTTCCCACCTGCAAATGGCTTTCGCAGATCCGAGTTTGGGAATATGTCCATGAGCAACTCTTGACATATTCTTGTAAAGTCTTCTTAGCGGAACTCGGACGCATGCTGCTGGTGGCTTCACTGTCGCCCCTGAGCTGGCGGCGAAGGATATCACGGGTTGTGTTGACAGCTCCTGCCACACACACCCATGTGTCTAAACTCGCCCTACGTCCCAAGACCTCAACGCTTAACCCTTAAACCCTGAGCCAGGTGAACTTGAAGGCCCATGGGGTACTACTTAGTAACCTTAGTTCGGGGACTTATAACCCGGCCCCATATGTAAGATCATATACGTATCCATGAACTACCAAGGAGGGTTATTGACCCTATAAACCCGAGAGACCCCTAGAGACCCTAGAGACCCCATAAACCCTATAAACCCGATAAACCCGATAAACCCTCTACACCCAATACACCCTATAAACCCCATAAACCCTGTAAACCCTAAACCCGAAACCCTTAAACCCTACAACCCCTAGACCTGGAGCTTTGCACTTGTTGATATTGGTCTTGTTTTTGTTTTTTGGATGACACTGGTTTCAATTCTACACTTTCTATTAATACTGATGATGTTTTTTTTTTTTTTTTTTTTTTTTTTTTTTTTTTATCATTATTTTGTTGCTTGGTTTTTTGTAATTGTTCATCAATTGACAATCCTTTCTTCTCAATATCTTGATCATCTTGTAAATCCAAATACCCTTAATGCACAATTATACTTTTTTATTCCAGCTTTCCATTCTCTTTGTTTCACCCCACAAGTCCTTCTGGTTCAGCATCTCGACCGTACCGGCGACTCCCCGACTCGGGCGGCGGAGCTCATGAACCATCGGCTGCTAGAGGTCCAACAGGGTTTAGGGCTTAGGGTTTAGGCCGATTGAATAGGGATAAAGGGTCAGGGTTTGGGGGTTAGGGGAAGTATTTAGGGATTGAGGTTTATACGGCTCAGGGAACTTGCGAACCGACCCTCAGGGCGCCGCTCTATCCCCTCCTTGTCCTTGATGGACCGCTCCTCAGGATAGGAGTACCTGGAGCAGTACAAGCTTGCGGCTGCTCTCACGGTAGTAGGAAACTCTCGCAGGAAACTTGCACCCTTCCCCGCTACTGAGGGCGGCGCGAGGACAAAACAGCACAAGGGCTTGCGGCTTGACAAAAAGGTGGCCATGGGAAAAGAACCTAAACCCTAAACCCTAAACCCCAAACCCCAAACCCCAAACCCCAAACTCCAAACCCTAAACCCTAAACCCTAAACCCTAACCCTAAACCATAAAACCCTAAGCCCCCCCGAGGGTCTGACTTGAAGAGGGTGATGGTTCCGTTCCCTCCACAGGAGGCGAAAACTTCCCGGTTCTGCGGCAGGAAGTGTGCGCCCCAAAGCGTGCTCTTTGTCACCTGGCAGTCGTGAGAACGACGGCACAAGTGAAAGAGAGGAAACAGGGTTTAGGGTTTAGGGTTTAGGGTTTGGGGTTTGGGGTTTGGGGTTTGGGAAGCCTCTCCGCGGAACAAGTCCCTCTGGAACGCTGGAGAATGCCAGACCGCCCTAAACCGGAATCTTGCATCCTACATGCTGAGACTTGCAGCCCTACATCCCTTGATTCGTGGCAGCCCAGGAACCATAATACGATAAGTGACTTGACAAGGGAACCTTGGACCAAAAACAAAAGGAAACAGGTACCACTGGGCAATTACCAAGGATTCGGATTCCCCAACCCACTCACAAACCCTAACCGAAAACCCTAAACCCTAACCCTAAACCCTAACCCCTAAACCCTAAACCCCAAACCCTAAACCCTATTCCCCACTGCAGTCATCCGGAAGGCACAAACAAGACGTGCCTTTTCCTTCCTTCCCGCGTAGCCCTCCTCAGGATGATACCTCAAGCAGAAGTGTAAGGAAGGTCGGGTTTAGGGTTTAGGGTTTAGGGTTTAGGGTCTCGGGTTTAGGGTTTAGGGTTTAGGGTTTAGGGCTTAGGGGGGGTGTTCGGAGTTTGAAGATTTAGAGTGTAGGGGAATGCGAGTTGGAAGACGTTTACCGTCATGGCCAGGGATCGCGCGTACGAAGGTCATATACCACCAGGGTGGACTCGAGCGTTGACACCTCAGCTGCTTGCGATCTGAGCGGGGAAGAAACTCCTCGGGGCCCTACAAAACCCTAAAACCCAAACTCCAGACCCTAAACCCTAAACCCTAAACCCTAAACCCTAAACCCTAAACCCTAAACCACTCTCTGAGGCCGGCGCGCCCAGCTTGTTCATTCGGATGTCTTTCCGGTCCTGCATAGCTGCTACACCATGTGCAACATCTTCGGGGACAAATAGTAGGAGGATCCCTTGGGATGTTCCCCCTTACACTAACAGCCCTTAATAGGGTCTCTAGTAACCCCCTATGCCTATTGAGGACTGTTCGTACAAGGGGGACACATCCCAAATAGTAGTTTCGGGAAGCCCCCATTTAGTAGTTGTGGAAAGGGTTCCCCGTACCATGTGTTTTGCAACCCTAAACCCTAAACCCGTAAACCTAAAGCCTAAACCCTAAAACCTGTAGGTCTATAGGTGGCAGAGATCGCCATTTGTACTTTATCCGTTTGTACGTGTATCCTAAACCCCCCCCCAACCCCTAACCGCTACTGTAACCCCTAACCCCTAACCCCTAACCCCTAAACCCTAAACCTGCCAAAGCCCAAAACCATAAACCCTACACCCCTAAGCGAACTCTAAACAACAATTCCCAGGCCCGAAACCCTACAAAGCCCTAAACCCTAAACCCTAAACCCTAAACCCTAAACCCTAAACCCTAAACCCTAAACCCTAAACCCCAAACCCTAAAACTGCACCAGGAGCCGCCAGTTCTGGGGCTCCCGCGAACTGGAGGTGGCACACGCCGTTCCGGACGTTCGTATCCCATCTCAGGGTGTTGGTGCGCCTGGTGGGAAGGCTAGGGTTTTTGGGTTTTTCGGGTTTTTTGGTTTTTTGGGTTTTTTTGGGTTTTTGGGGGGTATTGGCGTCTTGGGGGTTTTGGTTGGGGTTTTGGGGGGTTTGTTGCTCTTTTTTGGGGTTTGGAACTTTTTTGGGGGGTTTTTGGGGGGTATCCCTTCTCAGGGTGTTGCCGCGCCTGGTTGGAAGAGGGCTAGGGCTTCGGGTTTGTAGGTTTTTTTTTTCTGATGGGGCGGGCGGGGGGGTTGGGACTTTTGGGATTTTGGTGTTTTGCTTCTTGGGTGTCTTTCTTGCTTTTTCTGGGGTTTAGGGCTTTTTCGGGCTTGGGGTCTTCGTCCCCAAGTATCATCGGGTCTCAGAAAGGCGCCATGCACTTCGACTTGATCCAACTGCAAGTAAACCCTAAACCCTAAACCCTAAACCCTAAACCCTAAACCCTAAACCCTAAACCCTAAACCCTAAACCCTAAACCCTAAACCCTAAACCTCATGCGAGTCAGCGCTTCAGAACAGCGAGGTTCATGCTGAGAGTGTGGCAAGTCGAAGATTTTGACGTCGCCGTTGTCGTATCCTCTTTTATCAGAACCCTTCAACGCCCTAAGAAGCTGGTAAGCATCCAGCCATGTGGGCGGCTCCGAAATTAAAAATACCTCATTAGGGTCCTTGTTATAAGGGAATCCTACTATTTGGGGTCCATAAACGGGGTCCCTCATTTTCGGAAACCTCCCCATTTGCAACGAAGCCATGCTATCCTATGCCAGCTGCACACGTCCTGCTGCGATACACCGCTCCGCATCGTTGTAGGAGTTGCCGAAGGCCACAGTCCAGCAATCAGCCGGCGTTTCGCCTTCTACTGGCTCCAGGGAAAGGACTGGATCTTGTGTGCGAGGGTCCCACACCTGAGAAGCAGCCGCTCATTCCGAAAATCCCAGGACACGCTCTGGAACTCCCCTGAAGAGGTATCGGTTCGTGCTGCAAGCAGCTATTGTGTGAACTGCAAAAACTCGGCTCCTGACCCGAACGGTCCCATCCCTGCTTCCTGTCACTAGCCTGTCGTGCGCAAAGCTCAGAATAGACTGAGATATGTGACGTGCTATAAACCCTGCGACTTCAATTCGATTCCATAGTGATGTTCTGTTTAGCAAGAGAGACATAAAATCTTGAAGGTGAATGGTGAGCCATGCGCCAAATTGTGTACAACTTTCGCATCCTGCGCGCAGTCGCAGCATGAGCCAAGGGCCAGGCTCAGGAGCACCACTGCCAATGCCGAGGCCTGCCAGAGGCTTGAGAAGTCTCGATAGTTGTCAATATGGTTTACGAAAATAGGGGACCCCCAATATAGACCCCAAATAGTAGGATCCCCTTATTACCAATAAGGTACCCCAAATATCGGAAACCCCCATGTGATTGCCAACTTTGCTCACACATCCAACTGAATGGTCCTTGGCCCTGAAGGATCAGTGAGCTCACAGTTTGCCTCCATGCTCAGAATCAATACAGCTTTAGCTCTCTAGGTCTGCATGGAAATTTCAGAAGGCCTTATGGATTGCAACAACCAAAACTCCAACCACCCATTTCAACACAGCCACATGTGGGGTTTAGGGCTTAAAGGTGATTCAAAGCCTCCACAGCCATCGATGGCATTGACAATGAGGTCGTGACCTTTCACGCCTCGGGGTTTAGGGTTAAGGCTTAGGAATTCCCGAATTACTGCCGCACTAAGAACCTCAAGGGGCTACATACCATGATAGCTTGAGCTCCATCCACCCATGCAAGGCTAGATATTGCGGAGCGGGGGGGGGGGGTTCCTCAGCATTCCCTTTCCCCAAACCATTAGTACTTGCAACAATCAGAATTGGTAATTGTGATGCTGTTAGTTTTAACAATCATGGCAATGATCGTGATACATGCGATATCTGTGATGAACGTAGAAATGAGAATGTTGAAGCTGATTTCAATATTGGATTTTTGAATCCTACGGATTCTAGTACGTAATCCAACAAAAGAACATCAAGAACTACACGAGATCAAAAACAACAACGAAGAATACGAGTACTAGTACTCAGAATAATAGAAATAATCATCAGAAATCATAACAATAGTAGTAATAATAATACTAATCATAATGATAGTAATAAGCAGGGGATTTTGGCTTCTGGCTCCACACCGGCTTCTTGAGGTTCTCCAAGTCCCAGATCGCAAGGCCACCGGCATAGTCACCAGTGGCCAGGTGCCGATCCTGGCGATGGCTTCGGACTTTAGGGCTTCGGGTTCAGGGTTTAGGGTTTAGGGTTCAGGGTGTCGGGTCCAGGGTTCAGGGGGTGGGGTTGGGGTTTAGGGTCTAAGGTGTTTGGGTTTAGGGTTGAGGGGATAACCTGCAGTTAACCTGAGCACTTGACAGGCCTAATCCGCCTGAAGCCCCTAACCCTCTCTTCCCTCATCCTCGACGCCTAAGGCCCGAACCCTCTTCCTTAGAACCTAGTAATCCTCAATCCTTAAAGGGGCCGGGGACACTGATAAGGGAATCTGGGGGTATTGCGGTCGGTTTAGGGTTCAGAGTTCAGCGGTAAGGGTTTAGGCTTAGGGTTCAGGGTCTAGGGCGAACACCATGAACCCTCAACCCTGAACTTTGAACCCTGAACCCTAAATGCAGTCTGCGCATGCTTCTCGAACTCTTAAAGTCTTCAAGCCAGATCTTCGACGGAGGCGCTTGCGAGGGTTTCGGGCGTGGGGCTTATAAGGGCTTAGGGAAACGCGCCATGTGTGTAAGTGTGATGCGTATTGTGTTTGTGCTTGTTTGTAGCCCTAAACCCTAAACCCTAAACCCTAAACCCTAAACCCTAAACCCTAAACCCTAAACCCTAAACCCTAAAACCCTAAACCCTAAACCCTAAATCACGAAGGAGCCCCATGCCTTCATGACCCACAACATCTTGCTGGGCGCTAGGCTACAGGTCTGACACCGGCGCTGGGGCTCTCCGAGTCTAGGGAGCTTAGGGCTATCAGGGAGGGTTTAGGGTTTAGGGTTTAGGGTTTAGGGTTTAGGGTTTAGGGTTTAGGGGTCAGATCACGGAGTTTCGGGAAATGCTTCGGACCACCTCGATGGAGGACGCGCCGAAAGTGCCACACTTGAACCCCTTCGGCTGTTCTGTCTCCGCCTGGATGGGTTCAGGGTTTAGGAAGTGGGGTTGTTTAGGGGTTAGGGTTTAGGGCTTAGGGCTTAGGGTTTAGGGTTTAGGGCTGAGGGTTTAGGGTTTAGGGTTTAGGGTTTAGGGTCTGGGAAGTAAGGTTGTTTAGGGCTTAGGGTTTAGGGTTTAGGGTTCAGAGTCCTTCAGGGGTGCTGCCTCATGAGCTGGCTACTTAGTGTCTTCGTGCTCAGGAGGCACCTCTCCTACTGCTATATTGCGACAGTACTCTGCTCTACTCCTCTCTACTACTTTACTACTGCCCTCAGACCAACTATTTGGGGGAAGTTGACCATGTGGTCACACGGAGCCTTCCTGCGGTGGACAGCTGAGAAGCAGCATTTTTCCACATCTTGGAGTTTGGAGGAGACAATGCCTCTTACACGCTACCGCGCGCAGAAACCCTAAACACGCCCCAAGCTCAGAAGATTCGTAGAGAAGAGCCCACTTCAGGAATGTGTGCCTTCAACTGCAGGTATCCACAATAGCTGACTCAAGACACCTTACACCACCGAACCGCCCTATACACCTAACGCCTAAACCCGAAACCCTAAACCCCCCTAAATGGGTGACCTTCTTTTCGGAGACCATGTTGAAGGATCTAACCTCCCCCCCCCCCCGCCCACGCAGAGCCACAAGGAGGAACCCCAGAGCCATCTCCGAAGGTCGGCGTAGGGTTTGGGGTTTGGGGTTTGGGGTTTGGGGTTTAGGGTTTAGGGTTAGGGCTTAGGGTTTAGGGTTCAGGGGTTAGGGTTCAGGGTCTTAGGCTTTAGGGTCTTAGGGTTTAATCCCCGAAGAAGGTTTAGGTTTAGGGTTGGAGGGCTGGGGAGCGCACCAGCTTTTCGCTTTTCCCCTTGTTCCTGGCGCATGGGCGGTCTTAGGTTGAAGGTCGAAGGACTAGCAAAAGCACCAGCAAAAGCGGTCAGGGAGTGGTCACACGTTTCTGTCAAAACCTGTGCTGAGTCTGTTGCTACTTTTTTGCTCCCGTTTCTACTATTTCTGGTGCTGCTTGTTGTGCTGTTTCTGGTGCTACTTTTTCCACTCCTGTTTGTGCTTCTTCTGGTGCGACTTTTCTGAAAATTTCTGGTGCTACTTTTCTGTCCCTGAAGCCATGCTTGGATTGCCGATGGGCCGATTTGGTTCGCATTCCTGGTGCTCGTTTTCGCCTGTGTGATATATACAACGCCTGCTACTCGGGCGAGGGCATCCTGAATCAGAGCCCTTCCGATGACACACAGGAGCATCAGCAGCATCATTGCCCTTCCGTTTCAGACCAGGTCACACCGAAACACCCACAATCAGCAGCTTCTGCAGCACCACAAGCCAGAAGCATCAGCAGCATCAGCGCCCTTCCGTTTCAGACCTAGGTCACACCGAAACAACACAATCAGCAGCATCAGCAGCACCACAAGCCAGGAGCATCAGCAGCATCATCGCCCTTCCTTTCCAGACCAGGTCACACCGAAAGCATCAGCAGCATCATCGCCCTTCCGTTTCAGACAGGTCACACAAACACCACAACAAGCAGCAGCAGAAGCACCGAAACACCACAAGCCAGGAGCATCAGCAGCATCATCGCCCTTCCCTTCCGGACCTGGGTCACACCGGAACACCACAACAAGAAGCATCAACAGCACCAAAGCACCACAAGCAGGAGCGTCAGCAGCATCATCGCCCGTGCGTTTCAGACCTAGGCCACACCGAAATACCACAACAACCACCATCAGCAGCACCAGAGCAACACAAGCCAGGAGCATCAGCAGCATCATCGCCCTTCCGTTTCAGACCCAGGTCAGAAACACCACAAGCCAGGAGCATCAGCAGCATCAGCTCCCTTCCGTTTCAGATCTAGGTCACGCAGAAACTCCACAATAAATCACATCATCAGCGCCAGGTAACCACAACAAGCAGCATCAGCAGCATCATCGCCCTTCCGTTTCAGACCTGGATCAAGCCAGAAGCATCAGCAGCATCAGCGCCCTTCCGTATCAGACAGCATCACCAGCATGAGCGCCGCTCCGCTTCAGACCTAGGTCACACCGAAACAGCACAAGTAGCAGCATCAGCAGCACCAGGTAACCACAACAAGCAGCATCAGCAGCATCATCGCCCCTGCGTTTCAGACCAGGTCACACCGAAACACCCACAATCAGCAGCTTCTGCAGCACCACAAGCCAGAAGCATCAGCAGCATCAGCGCCCTTTCCGTTTCAGATCTAGGTCACACAAAAAGACCACCAAGCAGCGTCAGAAGCACCGAAACACCACAAGCCAGGAGCGTCAGCAGCATCATCGCCCTTCCGTTTCAGACCTAGGTCACACCAAAACACAACAACAAGCAGCATCAGCAGCACCACAAGCCAGAAGCATCAGCAGCATCAGCGCCCTTCCGTTTCAGACCTAGGTCACCCCGAAACACCACAACAAGCCACAAGCCAGGAGCATCAGCAGCATCATCGCCTTTCCTTTCCAGACCTAGGTCACACCGAAACACCACAACAAGAAGCATCAACAGCACCAAAGCACCACAAGCAGGAGCATCAGCAGCATCATCGCCCGTGCGTTTCAGACCTAGGCCACACCGAAATACCACAACAACCACCATCAGCAGCACCAGAGCAACACAAGCCAGGAGCATCAGCAGCATCATCGCCCTTCCGTTTCAGACCCAGGTCAGAAACACCACAACAAGCAGCATCAGCAGCATCAGCTCCCTTCCGTTTCAGACCTAGGTCACGCAGAAACTCCACAATAAATCACATCATCAGCGCCAGGTAACCACAACAAGCAGCATCAGCAGCATCATCGCTCTTCCGTTTCAGACCCAGGTCAGAAACACCACAACAAGCAGCATCAGCAGCATCAGCTCCCTTCCATTTCAGACCTAGGTCACGCAGAAACTCCACAGTAAATCACATCAGCAGCGCCAGGTAACCACAACAAGCAGCATCATCGCCCTTCCGTTTCAGACCCAGGTCACACCGAAACACAACAACAAGCAGCATCAGCAGCACCACAAGCCAGAAGCATCAGCAGCATCAGCACCCTTCCATATCAGACCCAGGCAGGAGCATCACCAGCATCATCGCCGTTCCGCTTCAGACCTAGGTCACACCGAAACACCACAATTAGCAGTAATTGGCAGCATCAGCAGCACCAGGTAACCACAACAAGCAGCATCAGCAGCATCATCGGCCCTCCGTTTCAGACCAGGTCACACCGAAACACCACAACAAGCAGCATCAGAAGCACCGAAACACCACAAGCCAGGAGCATCAGCAGCATCATCGCCCTTCCGTTTCAGACCCAGGTCACACAAAAACACCACAACAAGCAGCATCAGAAGCACCGAAACACCACAAGCCAGGAGCATCAGCAGCATCATCGCCCTTCCGATTCAGACCTAGGTCACAAAGAAACACCACAAGCCCCTCCGTTTCAGACGTAGGTCACACACAACAAGCAGTATCAGCATCACCAAAGCACCGCAGGCAGGAGCACTCCACCCCCTAAACCCTAAACCTTGTAAAACCTAAACCCTACATCCTAAGCCCTTAGCCCTAAACCCTAAACCCTATACCTTATAAACCCTAAACCCTAAGCCCTAAACCTTCAACTCGAACGCCTAGAACGTCTTGGCATGTCAAGCGCTCAATGCCACCTGTGACGCCTCGTGGGGGATGTTTGAAACCAAAGTGGGCATTCACAAGTTCACCCTGCTTCCACCTTCCAGTGTAATGCTTACAAGTCCGGGCTTATGAGGTAGGGCTTAGGGTTTAGTAAGGCATCTAGGCTTTATAGGCTTCATAGGGCTTGTGGAGGGTTTCAAGGCTTCATTCTAGGTGTCGCAAGGCAACTCGTGGCGGGGAGGACAGCTGGCAAACGCGGATGCAGCCCGTCGCGCGAGGATATTGGCCCAGGACCACGTAGCGGGCCTGAGATTCGCACCCAGAACCCTTCAAGGGCTTGGAGCTTGGGGCTTCGAGCTAAACCCTAAACCCTAAACCCTAAACCCTAAACCCTAAACCCTAAACCCTAAACCCTAAAGCCTAAAGCCTAAAGCCTAAAGCCTAAAGCCTGAACCCTGAACCCTGAAGGGCAGACACTTGGATCCCTCAGATCTCGGATTGGGTTCCATTTTATTCATAGGGTTCAGGGTTTAGGGTTTAGGGTTTAGGGTTTAGGGTTTAGGGTTTAGGGTTTAGCATGGTGCACGATCACCGCATGCGCTTTCGCCCAAGCTTCCTGAAGGGCGATTTGACGTTCCCAGAGCAACAGAAGAACCCTAAACCCTAAACCCTAAACCCTAAGCCCTAAACCCTAAACCCTAAACCCTAAACGACCGAGCTCCGAGCACTCTGGGGTACCCATCGCGTGTCGAAGGGCGTGAAGTTCAGCTGCTCCTTGAGGTGCCTTAGAAGAGAACGAGCTTGGGCTGAAGTAGGGTTTAGGGTTTAGGGTTCAGGGTTTAGGGTTTAGGGTTTGGGGCTTAGGGCTTAGGGTTTAGGGTGTTGCATCTGGTCAGCTACGGGCTCAGGGTGTAGGGTTTAGCTAAACTGCTAAAGCCTCCACCCGAAAAACACCCTGTTAGGGTTTAGGGTTTAGGGTTTAGGGTTTAGGGTTTAGGGTTTAGGGTTTAGGGTTTAGGGTTTAGGGTTTAGGGTTGAAGCCCCTTAAGCCCCTCAACCTGAAACCGAGGATTCACCCCCCCGGAAGGCGCTTGGAGTCGGCTTTTTCAGAAGATGCGGGGTTTATGGTACAGGGTTTGAGGCTTTAGGATGCAGGGGTTCGAGGGCTTGAGGGCTTAGGGTTTAGGGTTTAGGGTTAGGGTTTAGGGTTTAGGGTTTAGGGTTTAGGGTTTAGGGTTTAGGGTTTAGGGTTTAGGGTTTAGGGTTTAGGGTTTAGGGTTTAGGGTTTAGGGTTTAGGGTTTAGGGTTTAGGGTTTAGGGCTTAGGGCTTAGGGTTTAGGGTTTAGGTTTAGGGTTGAAAGGGCTTCTTCACTGAGGCCTTTGCTCGATGACTTGTGGCGCTGCCGTGCAGTCCATGCTCAGGAGACGAAAAGTTGCTGTCGAATTGACAGTCTCGTTGTTGGAGACTAGGTCCCAGAGCACCCTGGGGATAAAAAGGGTATCCTTAGGGTATCCTTTGTGTTTAAAGGGGTAAGGGTTCTAGGACACTAGGACTAGGTCCGGTGCTGCTGCGCCAGGCCGCCAGATACGTTTCTGCGGGTTGTGGAGAGCGCGGAGACAGCAAGAACTAGGCTTCCTTGAGCTGGCCCAATCAGGCATTTGGGGTGTAACAAAATCTGAAGGGGGGAAGATGTTGAGAGAGTGGTGTGGCTGCGACTTATCATGCGATGCGGCCCCGCAAGAGTGCAAAAATGGGCTGCGGTCGGTGGAATCCGATAGCCGTCCAGCTGCCACGTCTTGGTAGCCCAGTAGAGTACAATGAGATAAGGGTAATTACCCTTGTGTATTGGGGTTGGGTAGTTTCTACGGAAACCTTAAGACCAAAAAGGGAAAGTAAAGGGTACCACTGGGGCTACCACGACATAGAAAAAACCAGAAGTGGACCATGGTTGACGAGGTTTCCCCCTAAAATCGCGCACTTTTCTTGAGCCTCAGCCCACTACTGCACATTGCGGTCGTACCTCTTCAGCTGCGACAGCCTCAGAACATGCTGGGGAGCATCACGGCACTCCCTGAACCCTACCTCAAGGCCTGGGAAATTGGCTGACTTCTGAACCCCTCCTAGAAGTTTAACTTTTAGGCTCCTTATTGTAGTTTCTACAAATACCCGAAAAAGTAACGTCCTAGAAGAAAGCCAAGGGAATGACCGCAACTTGGTGCGCGACTCTTCCATCAGCGAATCCGTATAGGTGTTGTTCTCGAGGGTCGGTATCAGCTTCCTCTAATCATGGGTTTCCTACACCCCCCCCCCCCCTCCATACCTAGGGTTTAGGGTTTAGGGTTTAGGGTTTAGGGTTTAGGGTTTAGGGTTTAGGGTTTAGGGTTTAGGGTTTAGGGTTTAGGGTTTAGGGTTTAGGGCTACCCCCTTCCTAAATAACCTCAAGTAGGCTCAATTATCCCTGAATAGCCTTTATTATGGGGGACATCATGATCCAAACGCCCTAACTTCGCAGCCTCACTCAAGGGCTCCCTTCTTGGGGACGACATGAACCCGAATCTTGGGGAGTCGTCGATCTACCCTATACTACTAGAATCCCTATGAAGGTCTATGAGCCATAAACCCTTTTAGGGTTCACTATCTACCCTATACTACTAGAATCCCTATGAAGGTCTATGAGCATAAACCCTTTTAGGGTTCACTATCTACCCTAGACTACTAGAATCCCTCTGAAGGTATGTGAGCCATAAACCCTTTTAGGGTTCATCCTGTCCCCAAAATCTTGGCAACTAACAGGTGCTGCAAGAGTGGCGACTCGTGACCCGCGCTCAAAAGGCACAAAGCCCTAAGAAACCCTCAGCGAACCCAAGTCCGCCCATAAGCCACATTAACAGCCGCAAAGAAGCCTATGAAACCCTCCACCCCACACCCCCTGAACCCTAAAACCTTAAGCCCTAAACGCGGAAACACTAAAACCCTAAGCCCTAAACCCTAAACCCCAAACCCTAAACCCTAAACCCTTAAAGGCGCGTCCTGGCTTCGTCGGCGGTCGTTGGCATGAGGTTCAGGAGCCTTGATGGCCCAGTAACCGTATTAACACAAGGGTACTGTGCCCTTGTTGTACCCTTGTGAAAGCAAACCTAAACCCTAAACCCTAAACCCTAAACCCTAAACCCTAAACCCTAAATCCTAAACCCTAAACCCTAAACCCTAAACCCTACACCCAAACAAAAGGGGAAAAGGGCGTCACTGGGCTGCCAGGGAGCTGGGTCGCCTCGAAGTCCCTGCATCGCCTGGGCCATGGCAAGCCGGCTGATGTGTTGGGTTTAGGGTTTAGGGTTTAGGGTTTAGGGTTTAGGGTTTAGGGTTTAGGGTTTAGGGTTTAGGGTTTAGGGTTTAGGGTTTAGGGTTTAGGGTTCAGGGTTTAGGGTTTAGGGATTAGGGTTTAAGGTTTCGGGTTTGGGGTTTGGGGTTTAGGGTTTAAGGTTTCGGGTTTGGGGTTTAGGGTTTAAGGTTTCGGGTTTGGGGTTTAGGGTTTAAGGGGCTTTCAGTGCTTAGGGCTGTTTAGGGTGAGGAGCGTTTAGATTAGGCAGGCAGGGTCCAGTCGCTTGTGTCGCTGGGGTTCGCCAGGCTAGTTGCAAGATGAGATCAGGCAGGAGGCCATGGAACAAAAGCTCCGGAAGGGTTTAGGGTTTAGGGTTTCGGGTTTAGGGTTTAATCCGGCATAGCACAGTCTTCAAAGTCTTTTAGCGCCGTGAGCTCTCAGGAGCATATTGCACTCGCTGTAGCACTCTGCAAAGGCCGCGTCATTTAGATCACCCCCCCCCCTCCCCACCCAAACCCAAAGCCCTATATAAGCCCTAAACCCTAAAACCTAAACCCTAAACCCCAAACCCTAAACCCTAAAACTTCCACCTGGAACCCACGAGGTTCCTGAGAGCGTCACTTGTTATACTTGTGGCTCGTTCGGCTGTAGGCCTGGCAGCCAGAGGTGGTTCAGGATTTAGGGTTTAGGGCTTAAGTGTTAAGGGTTTAGGGTTTAGGATTTAGGGTTTAGGGCTTAAGGGTTTTAGTTCCAGGCTTGGTTTAAGTCTTTCGGGTGGAACAAGACATCGCTACCGTCTACACCTAAACACATCCTGGTCACATCCTTAAGCCTACAATGTGACGAAAACCTGAAACTCTGAGCTCCTAGGGTTTGGAGTTTAGGGTTTAGGGTTTAGGGTTTAGGGTTGAGGGTTTAGGGTTTAAGGTTTAGGGTTTAGGGTTAACAAGAGCTCCAACATGTGGAAGCCCTGGGCCAACAACAATATCACATCCCGCTTCCAAAAGCCGCACCCTTTGAGTTTTCGTGGGGTTTAGGGTTTAGGGTTTAGGGTTTAGGGCTTAGGGCTAGGGTTGAGGCTTTAGGGCTTAGGGTATGGGCATGTCGGTTAGAGAGTACCAAAATCCCACCCTCGATGACGCCACAAGGTTGCTCGAACCACTTTCTTAAGGTTTCCCAATGTAGGGACCTCCCCTACAAGGAAGATTCTGACATTTTGGGGTTCTGCGTGGGGGGCCCTTTGTTAAAAACACCCATCTAGGCACCTACTCCGAAGCTGCCAGAAAGACTGAAAGGGTTTAGGGTTTAGGGTTGAAACCTACAGGCCTTCAAGCACAAACCAACGCACCCTGCAAGGAAAACCTGCAATGCCCCCACTTGGGATTTTGGGGTTCAGGTTTAGGGCTTCCCCATCGCGCACCAAGCCAACCAGCTGCTTCTTGCCCTTGTCTGCTTGCGACTCATTCCTGAGACATCGCTTCGAGAGAACAGGGCGATTGTTACGGATTTTGGGGGCCTATAAACCACAATGTTCGACAGGTTGTAAGTTAGCGATGGTTGTTCCATTTTGCTCTCCACAACCTCCTCCCCCTTAGGCCGCAGCATAGATCCGAACCCAGACCTTTACTGGAAAACCCACAACTAGGTCGTGTGGTTGAAGTTCCAGAGGGTCTATTGTGCCCTAAGCCCTAAACCCTAAACCTAAATCCTGAACTGTGCCTTTTGGTGTATACGAAGGTTGCTGGGGGTTTGGGTCTAGGACAGGGCCAAGGGTGGAGCATCTGGTTGGGTTTCCATTGTGTCTGTTGTTAGTTGTTGTGTAAGGTCATGGGTTCTGGTCTATCATGGCCCGTCTTAGAACTCCAGAAATTTTGCGAGCTAGGAAATAAATAATGAATATACATATACATATACATATACATATACATATACATATACATATACATATACATATACATATACATATACATATACATATACAAATACATACATATTCGTATAACATATATATATATATATACTATGGCTAGATAAAATGTACAGTATATGCTATAATCTTAATTCCTATATGTAAAACAATACACATTGCGATGCTAGATACAAAGTGGTATAGGTCGATAGATAGAAATACTATATGTACCGAGCATTTTCCATATGGATTTGTGTACAATACTCATAACAATCGCAGCAGCACCTCCTCTTTGCCGACATCTTTCTGGCTATTTTTCAGCATCGGTTTTTAAAAATAAATAAATACATAAATAGATAAATATAAATACAAACAGAAATAAATAAATAAAAGCAAACAACAAATAAATAAATAAATAATTATATATGTATACATACATATACGTTTGCAGATGCCTGATGAGCTGAGCGTTCGGCGTGAGCTGCTTGAAGCGCTTGCAATACTCGAGCGTTTTCTTTGCGTCTTCCTTGTGCAGCACCCAGAGACTCCAAAACCCCTTGGTTAAGGGTTTAGGGTTTAGGGTTTCGGGTTATGAGGAGTCTACCTGAAGTCATACTAGGGTTCCGATCACACATGAAGGGATATTCCTTCAATAAGGGGCTTTGGAGTCTCTGGGCAAGAGGCTGCTGGCAGCTTGCAACACGACTTTTCAACATCCTGGCATGTTGGGTGACTCAGCTGAGCATTCTTCAACGCAAAGAACGGTAGACATTTGCTTTGCACTCGCAATCGCAAGGTGCGTGGTCCCTCATCTAATGCGAGGAAGGGGGATGCGTTGTTTTTGAAAACAACAGATGCCGAAGTGTGGACTCCCCCCGCGTACCCCTCCCTCCCCCCAGTAAAGGGCGTCCTTTCCCTTGCTACAGCCCCTTGCTGGGAGTGCTTGTAGGAAGAAAGCTTCACATCAAACGAACTGTATCGACTCGATGGCTCACTTCTTACCGGAACTGCCAACCCCCATGAGCAAGTCGCATCTTTCCTGTACACAGCGCCATCAGTCAACCCTAAACCCTAAACCCTAAACCCTAAACCCTAAACCCTAAACCCTAAACCCTAAACCCTGTGGCTCAACAACTTGCGAGTTCTTAGCAGGGAAGCCGAGGCTCTTGACACCCTTTACGGGGGCAATCGGAAAGCTCATTTCCCCGCTTGCCTTCAACCCCAACCCCTACGTGGGGGTTTTGGGGTTTAGGGTTTAGGGTGTAGGGGGGCTCGTGCATCTACAAAGAGGAATCAGTGAAACCCTTCTGAAGGCCGCGCGGTGAGCGTGCGCTTGTCTCTTGTGCGCCTTTCAGCAGATAGCTTGCAGATTCACTGAGCTTCGGATTCTAGATTTTACGGTTTAAGTCACCCTTCAGATGACGACCTTTCCTCCACTGATGGTCCCTGCCATGGTGCCTTGTGTATCAAAGGTTGCGCACTAACAGGGACCTCAACATGGAACAGAGTTTAGGGAAGAAATCATCCAGATCCGGGGGTTTGTAGGGTTTTGGGTTAGCTGCGTCGGAGCCCCCCTGTGCCGCGCCTCAAGCTCTGAATATGCAGTTTCATGAGTGCGGATCCCTACACCCAAAAAAGGACCCACAATCGAGAGAACTACACAGATGAGTCTGCGGCTCCAGCAGCCGGAGAGACGGGAAGAGGGGGATACAAACGAAAGCATCCGGCCCAGGGGTCAGGGGCCCATGCAAGACAAGGCCATGAACAAAAAGATGGATCATGTACCTAGAGTAACCTTTGTACCCTCAAAACGGGTAAGGTACCATCATTCCAAGGTTTCTCTACGTATATCATTGATCCCCAAGATAACCTTGTCGGGACAATCGGGGACCGGCTAGTGGGTACCGATCGCTGTGATTTGTTTCATCATCATCTCGGAAGGTTACCACCCCAGTGAGATGGGAAGCAAAACGCTCGCTTTAGGAACCAAAACTTAGTTATAGGGCTCCGAAGGGGGGTTCAAGGGGGGTATGTAACCCAAGGTTCCCTAATATCCCCAAGCTTCCCTAAGGTTCCCTAGCTACCCCCCGGAACCCCCCCTCCCTTAAGCACCCTCTAACTTAAATGGCTCACGTTTGGTGGATGCAACCCGGAACTGCATAAAGACAAAGCCAGGCCCAAGAACAACCCAGGAATCAAAGGGCCACCCACCTTGGCCTAAAGGGGATTGCAAGGGAAGCTGAACCCTAAAGAAAGGGAATAGGGGTCTACCCTGGCTCCTAGAAAGTGATGAAGAGCGACTGAGGGCTCTGCTGGGCGTGTAGCTGCTGTAGCTGAGTGTGCATATGCCCCAGGGGGATGCCTTCCTTGTTCCTGCAGAAGGCAGAGCAGAGCATCCACTTTCGACATGGAGGCCCCTTCCCTCCTGAAAGATACCACAACCCAATCTTATAACTGTCGATCTTCAAGTCAAGGGGTCTGCACCTAGGGCACTCGTCGACGATCCTCTTAAACTCTAAGCCCTTGGATAGAGCCCTAAACCCCAAAACCCCCCACTCTCCTCCCCCAACTCTATCACGCACCCAAAACCGGAAAAGGCGACTGAGACCCACAAACCGTAGAGCTGCAAGCCATCCAAGGTCGACGTTTGGTGGCAAGCTCGTCATGTATCGATGACTGAATGTTGGTTCAAGGGCGGCTACGAAGACACACCCCTTGAGTCATGAAAGATGTAAAGGTATTGCAAGAAGGGCATGAGGGCAAGCGTACCTGTAGAAGGTATGTGTACAGTCATATCGACATGCAGTCGCAAAGAGCTGTCAACCCAAACATGGATGGATACCCTAAACCCTAAACCCTAAACCCTAAACCCTAAACCCTAAACCCCAAACCCTAAACCATGAAAAACGTTGATGTTGTTTGTGTCTGCCGGAAGAAATGTGCGCTTCGCTCGCGTGAGGGTTCACGACTCTTCAATCCGATTCGTCGCTTCAAGCTAAGCCTGACTCGCAACGAGACCCTAAACCATGAACTCTAAACCTGCAACCCTAAACCCTAAACTCTAAACCCTAAACCCTAAACCCTGAACCCTAAACCCTAAACCCTACCCTCAGTCCTCCACGGGCCCAGCATGATGTGCCCATTGGGATCCAGGCGCGCGGCATCGAGCTCCAACTCCCCGCTCATCCCAGCCTCGGCCATCTGCCGGGCTGGCGCCCGAACTGCCCTAAACCCTAAACCCTAAACCCTAAACCCTAAACCCTAAGCCCTAAACCCTAAACCCTAAACCCTAAGCCCTAAACCCTAAACCCTAAACCCTAGGAAGCCAAGTGTCACAACATAAGTTGAGGGTTGACCGAGCAGCCCGCCTATCGAGAAATCGTTTCGGGCTTAGGGTTGAGGGTTTCCAGTACCTTGGGATTTTTGAAGCTGATGCCCGAAGAGGGCTGGGTTCTTGTGAAATTACTGCTCTAAGGACGACTATTTTTTCTGACCCAGGGGACAAACAGCCACAAGCGCAGCAGCTGCTGTCAAGGCACTGCAGCTCCGGCAAGGGCGGTCTCTGTGCAAAAGCTGGCGGGAGCTAAACGCGTGGTTTTGTGTACAGGTTGGGTCCTCGTCCTTTCTTCAGACTTCAGCAAATCTCTTGTGACACTAGAGGCTCAGGGATTTTTCACATTGGTGTGTCCACTAAGCGGCCTCTGCATGCAGCCGACTGAAGGCGGAACGGTATCGCGCAACAAACACCATCTTCGCAAACACCGAAAACAAATGGTCACTTCTTAAAGACATTTATTATTATGGTTCTTTTCGGGGATGCCATTCTGAGGTGGCCCCTATGATCTGGGGTACCCACTAAAGGGACCATATTTTTGAGAAGTGACCCAATGAACACAGCAGCAAAGCCCACATTTTTTCTGGCGCAGTGGCCGTGGACTCTGACGATCGACCCCTGCCAAGCACAAAAGGGCCACTAGGATGGGAACCTGCCAGGATTCACACCCGAGTTTGGGGAAGCCTCTGTCCCACCCTAAACCCTAAACCCTAAACCCTAAACCCTAAACCCTAAACCCTAAACCCTAAACCCATGTGACTGCTTGGCGTCTCAAACTCGGTGCTCCCGAAAAATCACATCTTCAAGCCACCAGCGGTGGATCTGCGTCTGAAGCACGGTCACGTGGGCCATACAGGTCCAGGGGATTTGGAAAGCTGAGGGCGGTGCGTAACAAGGGTGGCGGGCCTTAGGTTTATGAGGTCTAGGGGGGGGGAGGTCTGTATAGGGCTTGTGGAGGGGTTGATAGGGGTTCTGATGCAGAGTGGGCTCATCCAAACTTTGGGGACCCCAAACCCGTCCTAGCAATAGCGACCTAAGCAGCGTGCCCTTCTTCCCAAAGCAGCCCACGAATGCTTCTACCTGGAGTTGACCCATGCCCGACGTGCTAAACAACTGTGCAGTCTTTGTGCCCGCGTGGGCAATGCCAGCAAAGGAAGACGAATTCTCAGAGGCGGATCTGTCTTGAGCTTGTGGCCCAATTTTTCAGGGGTTGAGCTACGTCTTCGGGTTTGAGAGGCCAGGGCCCCTAAACCCTAAACCCTAAACCCTAAATCCTAAACCCTAAACCCTAAACCCTGAACCCTGAACCCTAAACCCCAAACCCTCATCCGTACTAGGGTCATGTCTCTCGAAGTCTGGGGCTTTGAGATCCGTCATCTCACTGCTTTAGTCTTGGCGGCGGATCTGTCCAGAGGGGTGGCCTGCCCGTCCCCACACATGCACTCGCAGTGCATGGGATGCCATGGGACTTCACGGACTCATCTTGTGGGAGGCGGCTAGGGTACGCGACAGACAAGGTACCAAGTGCGCACATGATGTGCCTGATGGGCTCATGAATATTCAAGTCGAACATTGCGACAGTCGAAATCCAAACCCTCTCAACACGCCCTCTCAACACGACTCCTGGTGCCTTATGACCCCGTGAAAGCACTAGCAGACACTGGCATGTTTGAAGGCGCTGTGTCTTGAGGCTTGTGCAGCTACACTATACTATACTACATTCTTTTCTATACTATACTATACTATTCTATACCATACTATACTCTACTATACAAAACCATACTATGCTATACCTCAACCCATGCTGGAACGGCATTCCTCGAAAGAGATGAAGAGCACGTGGCTGGTCCCCTCGAGCCGCGCGAAGCTGAGCACCTCGCTCGAAGGGAAACAGCTGAGGCTTTAGGGTTTAGGGTTTAGGGCTAGGGTTGAGGGCTCAAGATTTTTTAGGGTTTACGGTTTAGGGAAAAGTGATGTAAACACATCAAGGTGTTCTTGGAGAAGGAGAAATCACGAGGCTTGAGAGGCTGCTACGAACACCGTGCTCTCGCGTTGGCACCTGGCTGATGTCCTAGCTCTCCAGCCTGGCGTAAATGCGCCGCAAACCCCTTTTTGTAAGCCCCACAAGTGAACAGTAACCCTAAAAACCCTGTAAACCCTATCAACCCCACAAACCCCGCAAACCCTACAAACTCAACCCTACACCCCCCCCCCGCCCCATAAACCCAAAAAAATCACACCTGAGAGGCCCTATAAACCCTTGAAAAAAACACCAACAACCTATAACATCCTATAAACCACCCTATAAACCCTAAACCTCCCAGCAAAGTCGTCCCAAAGCCTTCCCCGCCCTTGAGGGGCGGACCTGTTTCGGCTTGAGCTTGCGGGACTCCCCCCGGGCCAAAGCTTCGCCTTCCTCCATGTTTAGGGTTGGGGTTTAGGGTTGGGGTTTAGGGTCTCGCGTGGGCAGGAAGCTCCACAGCGGGGTTACGCAGGGCTCTTTTTGTCACCAGGCAGCAACAACACAACAAAAGACCAGAAAAGACATGTTCTGATAGGAGTCTGTGTCCTATAACGTCTGTGCTCATACTGTACACTATACATATGCGATTTCTAAAAAGAGAACTTGCTGGTGGCCTGGGCCCCTGTAGACCTTGGGCCATGTGATAGCAGCATAACTCTGAACATGAACTCTTTGTGCACTCGCGCTCCCCCTTGGTGACGCGTCACCAACTGTATGACGGGAGGCAAAGCATCATCATTCCAAATGTCGAATAGGGCTCTCACTGGATCCTGCGGCCTGGGATGCTTTCCCGGCAGGGTCAAGTGTAGCCTCGTTGAAGCAAAATGCTTCGTTGAAGATGGGTTCGATATGCCTCAGTCCGGCCTGGAGTGTTTCCCCGGCATGGGTGAAGCAAAAAACTCATCTACCCTGTTGGGTAAAGGCGTCGCACATCGACCTCAAGTTCAGTGCGACCACGCCACTCGTGTTCATGGTACCGGCGAGCAGCTTCTGGGTTTCGCCAGTTGTCATCATAATACTGTCGCTCACCAGCTGCATATATGGCTAGCGTCCTCCTGCGGCCTGTGAGTGCTCCCAGAGGAACGGGCAACCTGGTCTGCGCTGGGTCGAAGCGACGAACTCTCACGACAGCGTGCCAGCGTACTAAGACAGTTGGTCTCTCTGCATCGTACTGAAAGAAGTCCTGTCGAAACTCTGGCGGCGGTGCCTGAAAAAGTGTGGATAGATCTCCACCCCATGATGTCCTCGTCAGCCGCATTTCCCTCATAGTTGGCTGCAGCGTGGGGGCGGGCCAGCCGACCCTGAGGATATAGGGCGGATCAGGTGGATGATTGAGCCGTAGGGGCCTTGCTTGCAATGGGCCTCTAGGCTGGGCGACTACGTCTCTGCGGACAGGCTCAGGCGGGTTCGCTGGCGCGTCTGCTGGGCCTGGCATAAACACCTGAACCTCATCATCAGCAAAGGCAAATGTGATAGGGCGGCCTTGAGGCTCTACATCAGGCTCCTGCTGCGCTACAGGTCTTGGGGGCCTTCGCCTCAAGCCTTCTTCAGGGGTCATTGCGGGAACGGGTTCCCTAACACGAGCAACGCGGGCCTCATCAGGATCTGGGCCTTCATACTCATCTTCGGGCTGTTCAGGAATGAAAAGCTCTTCAGGTTCTGGGGCTGGGAGTCTCGGCCTGAGGAGTTCCTCGGCAAGACGAAACACTGCCCTCAAACAAGCCTTACATGTTTCCCAAACTGCAATGGACGTGATTGAGATTAGCACAGCAAAGACTACAAGAGACCAGTCTTCACTACTCTGTGTCCTGTCCTGGTCCTTAGTGGCTCTGGCGTTGCACAGGCAACAGGCCAAAATGACTGCCCTTAGGCAATCCTTCACGTGCTGAACGGATTTTGCCTTAGTGGTTTCGGCAGGCGGATCCTGCGCAGACATTCCCAGCACTGCCATCAACGTCTTGATCCTCTGCGGGCCAAGTGCCTTAGTCCCTATATCAGCACCATTCTTGTCTCCACCTACATGCACGAAAACGAGCAATTTCATGTCGGACCTCTCTTTCAGGACTCTAGCCCTAATTTTCAGGTGACGGGTTCTCCAAGAAACAGTGGGGCTGTTGATCACTGTGATAGCACTCAGGTTGTCGTTTGCAACAAACACCCTTGGTTCATGCTGCCACAGTTCACGAGCAAGTCCTACATGTGCAACTGCATAGTTACTGCCAGTAGTAGTGGAGAGAAGTTCTGCTTCACATGAAGACTGCGTGCAAAATGGCTGCCTTGTGCTGACCCAGCCAACAGTAGACCCTTCACAGCGAAGCACGGTGCACTCATGAGACCTATCACCTCCTGGTGCGTGCGACGCATCTGTGTATGCCTGCAGCACGTGCGTGTAGTCTTGCGTTCCTACAAGGTTGTACTCATCTCTGTCCTTAGGGCCTGCGAAAACAAGACCTACCGACGGCGTCACAGACAAGTAACCTAGAACCTGCAGGGCCTGCCTAAACGTGAACTCAGGGTCCTTTGTGCTCCACTGTGCAAGCTTGGAAACGGCGTAGCAAAGGTCAACCCTAGTACGAATCGACAACCACAGCAGTTCACCTACAACTTGTTGGCACTTCCTAATGCTTTCGGTGTTGGGGTTAGGGACGGCAACAGGGTCCTCCAGTCCTTGCGGAAGAGGCTGCACAGAAGCGACAAACTCGTTGGTGTACCTACTCAGCAAGTCCTTTGCGTAAGCGGTTTGAGTCACAACCAACCTGCCCTCCCTTGACCAGTACAGCTCTAGTCCTAAAAAGCGAACTGGATTCGACGGGTCACTTCCAACCTTCTCTGGGTCAGAACACGTCCACTTTTCACAAACTGCCCTAATGATCCCCTCGCCTAAATCCTCTATACCTGACCCAAGAATATCGTCAACGTAGACAGCGATCCACCCGAGCACTTCCTGGGACTGCGCAGGCACAGGAAAGTCTGGGTCCTGAACGAGAACTGTCTCAACGTCAACAACAAACCAAACGCACTCGTCAGCAAGAGACTGCACTAGCTTCAAAAGCTTGCTTTTCCAGGGAATTTTCAGGGTACGAAGTTCAGCGTCTCTCGTGAAACCCCAGTCTCTTGGACTTTGGTCAAGACCGTAAACTGCCTTTTTCACTATGAGGAAAGTACCCACAGGCACGACTCCTTTGGACACTAGGATACGTGGAGGGTTCAGGACAACGTACTCGGCTGGGTTCTCGCTCTCCGGCGAGTCCCGGCGGACCGCGTGAGCAGTTCCAGCGTGAGCTACTGCTTCTTGTGCACCCTCACGGTTCCTAGGTAACAGTTCTGAGTTCAGGAAAGCAGTCTTGATGTCTACAGACCAAACAGGCATTCCACGACGTGAGCTATATGCTAACAACACGCGCAGGTGAGTAAGGTCAACTCCACTAGAGTAGAGGTCATGTTTCCTCTGGGCCTTGGACTCTCCTAGGCACGTGCCAAGAAAGTTACCACAAGCAACTATTCGGGCTTTGAGCCTACCTTTGGGGGCCTTGATACTGCAGATAAGCTTTGAGGGAATGACAGTGACCTTCACACCCTTGGCGCTCAACTCGTCCAGCCTCTCCTGCGTCACAGGCTCAAGCGCCTCTTTGTCCTCAGTAAGGGACGGGAACTCTGCGACGACTGCTGGTCGCCACACCTCGAAGTTTTGAAGAACTTGCCAGTTCGGTACGATCTTGGTCTGCAACACCTGCTCCGGCGTGTCCTCTTGAACCGCGTTCTCATCAAGAGTTTCCGGAAAGGATGCTTCACACACGCAGACAGCAACCGCACTTTCGTCACGCAAGTT